TATTAATTAAAAATACATTTAGAGAAGTCTATGGTTTTTACTGGCTTATCGAACAAACGAATACGAATGGACCCTAGATTATAACTGACTGACTGCCCCTGGAAGTCGACTTCTTACAGAAACACAGCTTCCCTATCATCAAATATACACCACTGCTTGTGATTAACAACATTACATGACCTTCAACAAATATACATGTTGATTTCACAGCTGATGATGATATTAAGAAAGTTTTCATTCTTTTAAAAGAAATTTAAATTTGGTTTCAGAATTAAACATTTTTTTTTCTGACAGATTTAAACATATCTTTTGTTTGTTCCAACACAATCTTATCAGTAAAAGTAAGATTTTTGCTAATTTTTATGGTAGTTCCTAATTTAAGTATTATTATTTTAAACTAAAATTCTCTCAGTGATGGAATTTATCATTTAAAATAGGCCAGGGCATCAGTATATAATGACAAAATATGTACTGATATAATCAATCAATATATATATATATATATAAATGAGGATGTTTATTTGTTCATTATGCACATTTGACCCTAGGCTGTTTGACCAATTGCATTTACGTTCAAATACTTCTAACTTAGATAACATCGTATATCTCACTCTAAAGCATCAAATGGATTTTAAATATCAATTAATTTGTGTCTACATTGATTTGCTGACTTTACAATGTAGTGCCATCTATTGGCAAAAATTTAAGAAAATAATAAACTAAATATAATTCTTACAAAAGAGAATATAGTTTTAAAAAATATATATTAAATTCACTTAATTACTGCGATAATGCTATAGCTTAAAATAGTTGTGCTATTTTGCACCATTACTGCAACAGATAGAACACAGCACTTGCCTTTTTTTAAAAACTCTTTCCCCCCTGTGATCACTAAGAGAGCCTCTTTTTAGCAAGCCCATTATAGATTTGGCAAGGCCCACAATGGGGCAGCTGGGTGATGAGGGATGCGGCGCAACATATCCAGAAGGACCACCCCCAAAATTCCTGGAAATTTTTTGACCTATCGGATTTTATTCTGGGTCCCCAGAGCAGCAACTGCCACTTTGACTGCTCGGCCATCTGGCTGCCAACAGAGTCCTGCCGGTTATGTATCTAACTCCATTCGGGGGAAATTTTTTGAATTGAAATAATGTGACTTCTGGTGCAAACCAAAAGTTCATATATAGTAATATGAGCCTTCTGCTCTTTTTCTTTCCGTATCTGGTCTCGACTTTCGTCTAGCTATATCCAATCTCAAGATTAAGAAAGGACAAATAGACAGACAGTAGACTGGGCATTTATAGGTCTACAACTTTTTTGAAATGAAAGCCCAACAAATTGCAGCCCAATAAGTACCCTCCAGTAACTGAGTGGATAAAACTACCGAACACCAGTAGTCAATCATGGGTTCATGCATGTCAACAGACTGGCCACATGCAGTTTTATGAATTTTTCTTCACATTAGTAACATCTAAATAGGGGCCAGCTTTATATGAAGTCTTTCCGGAATGCATCCTCCTTAGCAGATCACTTACATGTCGCATTGCCATAAACAAATAGATCAAACCAATATTAATAATTTTTCTATAAATGCGATATTTATGAGGACATATTTAACTACCACTAAACCTGGACATCCCACCCCATCCCAATTTCATCTCACTTTATTAACTCATAGTGCTTAAAGATATTCTAACGTTCAGCCAAATTAATATATGTGCCACAATTCTAAAGCAAAAGTAGAGCTCGAAGTCTTTCTGTGCTAATGTTTATTTTTACAATTTATTATCATGGCAACATTGCTTCATTCAAAATTTCCTGTAGTTGTAGTCTGTGTAATGTGCATAATGTGCACTTTATTCATATGTTGAGTCTTACTGTCAAATCTGCATCCACTATTTGTATGCCACAAGTTTCAAAAGTTTCCTTTACTTAGACATTTTTACTATGCTTTACTTTTTCAACCTGGTTTCACTGGTTTTCTTTTGTTTTTATTTTTATGGGATTACATAAAAGAAATTATTCTTGCATTTTTACGATATGTATTTTATTTAAACAAGTCTTATATGAAGTCTTTTGGATGTTAAGGTTAGCAACTTGAAACATATGTGGGCCTCACACCTATCCAATATGGATCACTTTTCAAGTATTAATTAGTCATTGACTAGCCTCTCCCAAGAACAGATCAACTACTACTTTTGGTCAAATTACTTCAACCCCCTTCTGCAATAATCTCTTCTTTCTACCAGACCAGCAATATGGTGGCATTCGAATAGGAAAATTACATAATACAAGGTTATTAGAGAGCATAAAATATGTTTTAAGTGGTTTTCGAGGGTGCTGAGATTAAATATTTTTTTTGAAAATGATAATTTTTAGGCCTTGTTTTATTCATAAATGCAAAGATTAATTTCTCATGAAGTAAAAATCTAAAATATACTATGTGCAGTATAATCTCCAAATAGCAGACACCATTGAGACTGAGAAGTTTTTCCACTGTTTAGAGGTATCCACTATATGGAGGTACTGTATATGATAGAGGCTATACTGTATCTTAACCTAGTCATCATTGTGGGTTCCCAGACAAGGTTCTAACTCGAGTAAACCGTGAAATTCTTGCACGACACAAGATGTAAACAACGAGACTCAGAATGGTTCGAGTATGTGTCAAACTATCTGTCAAGGTCTTGTCAGAAGACAAACTCTAGCATGAGCACTCATAAACAGATAGATCTTTGACTCGCGAGTCTATAAAATGTTGGGAAAAATAAACCTTTTCGAACAAAAAAAGGGGGAATTTTGATAGATGAAAGATGAAAATGATCGTTAAATTCTTAGACGTCAAAAAATGGTAAACAATGGCCTGAGTTATGAGTGCAGGTGTTATTGTTTTATAAACAGTCACTAAGCAGAGTCGACAAAGAGGTATCAGATGGACACCTCAAATCGGACCTTTCCCGCAACCCGAAAAGGTTTCGTCTTGCACCTGGAGACAAAGGAGAAACCAATCGGGAAGCAAGGAATGGGACAAGGGACCAATCCGAAATGCAAATAGTGGGGGAAAACTATAAAAATTGGAAATTCAAGGTCGAAGAAGAGTCTCCTCTGGATTAAGCCTATAGTTGTGCTACCACTGATCACCTAGGACACCTCAGCTTAACACCAAACATCTGCATCATCCAGCGATCCTTCTTGTCTGCTCGGGCTATGACTGATCACCCAAACTCTCACCGTTTCATAGGAACACCGAGATTTGGAATTGTTCAATATCGATGTAAGCATGAATTCGAACAAATAAATGGGTTTTCTCTTGTAAAACACTTGTTCTTCATTCGCCTCCTTTGCCACTGCCCACATATGCGGTTTCCCTTAGGCTTATTCTGATGTGGGATTAATTGTATTCCCCTATTAGTTGGCAACCTTACGTCATCATTCAGTGAAAAATATGATGGATTATGAAAACATCAAATTTGCATTAAGAATATGAATATAATGAAAAGTACACTTGCATATATAATTAAAATATATACAATATATTATTTAATTTTTTAGCTGTAAAAATACCTTTTTAATTGAATCTCATTTTAATGTCAAGTTACAAAGGTGATTTATTTTCCACTTGAAAGGGTGGGAAATATATTCGGGATTGTTACATTTATAATGTCATTTATGATCTAAGTGACTAATAAAAATCGATACAGGGATTTATCTGCTTTGTAGTTATCAAGCAGGTGTAATTTTTTAACATTTTTGCTTTCTTCAGTAACTGATTTATTAAAAATTACACTTTAGCCACTACAAAGATATTAAAACAGCATTTGTTTGGTAAAAATTCAAAGGTCATGCTATGAAGGCAATTTGCCAACCACTTTAAAGTGTGGGAATATATTTGGTTTTCTCACATTTATGATATCAAGTTTCTTTTTCATTAATGCTATACTACGGTTCTTGTCGAATGAATGAATAACTTTGGAAAAGTTTAGTTTTCTTGGTATCATAGGCTTAATTCCAAAAATAAGACAGGAGTTTAATAAAATTAATATGTATAACAATAAATGGTGACTGAATCAGATTAATATTCTCTAATAGATAAAGAATATTGTTTGAATTCTTATAACATGCCCTTCTCTCCTATTCCTATTTTAAGCCAGTCTTTATTTCATCCTATGGTCAAAATTCATCATCTGAAAGAATATTTGAACTGATTCCTTGTTTTTGTTTTAAAATATTTCATACATAATTGATTCTTTCAGAATATTGAAAGCAGGACATTGAATTTACATAAAGTTGATTATAGATGATGTATCTGCTATTTAGTGATAAATATAATAGATGTCCTATTTGAAGGGTCTGAGGATTGTAAAAATATTTGTTAAGTAGAGGTGTCTGCTATTTGGGAGTGTCTGTTAATGGAGGTTTCACTGTATATTGTTGTTCTGCTGCAAGTTTATTATGAAAATTATAAAATGTTATTTATATAACATAAAATTAAACTGATGAAAGATTCAAAAACCCAATTTATAGTTAAGGCCAAATTAACTGTTGAATTGCCGTTCTAAATCTAGCATGAGAAGACGGCATAACTACATACCTCTAGACAAATTATTTAGTATTTAATTAATTATATAGATATATTTTAGCCCAATAATTTGACAGTTCATTTGGCTTTAACTGATCAAAGATAATTTTACGGTTTTCTAATCTATATATTTAGTTGGTCAAATGGCCGAGAAAGTTAAGGCACCAATTTACCACTGTAGGGGACCAGAGATCATCTAGACCAGTGTTTCTCAACCTCTAACGAATCGTCGCCCTCTTCACTTCAAAATTCCGATGCTGAGGGCCAAGGCTAACACCAAATTCGTACTGCATTGAATAGGCTAGTGATTAGTATAATGTTATTTGTTTAATTATTGTACGATATAACGAATAAAATATCTATTTATTCTTAATATAATGTTTTACTATATTGCCCAGAAAATTGTTTTTCGCCCCCAAAATATAAATTGTTACTAATCGCCCCCTCAACATGGAAAAACGACCACATGGGGGTGATATCGCCCCCGTTGAGAAACACTGATCTAGACAGTCAAAACACCCCAGTAATTTTTTTTGAGTTGTGTATCCTGGACAGATCATACTCCATTCCTCACTATCTGGCCACCCTACTGTGGACCTGACTTTTAGGCCAACCCACAATGAGCTTGAAAAAGGCCTTTTAGTGCTCACAGAATGAAAAGAGTAAAATAAAAATCTACATATTTTCAACTATTTCTTTATAAATTATAATATTCATCAAGTCTGAGTCATTTTGAATTTTAAAAATTCATACAGGACTGTAACCTATGCTTTAAACCAAAGATTTTGAAGTTATTTTTAAATTTCAACTTTATAAATCAAGTTAATTATCAAACAAAAGAAATACTACATTAAATTAATCTTTGTACCTTTTTGCCAATAATGACAATATATGGAAGACCAATTTCTTTGGCATTATTAAAACGATAGCCAATTGTTAACTTTGTTCTTTGATCTAGAATTACATTATCTTTCAAATGTTCCAGTTGGTTCAATGAGAATGAGATGTCATGAGCAAACTGCATTGCAGATTCTTCTTTGCCACCAGCCTACAATATTAAAAATACAATATAAAATACAATTAACATTTTAAACAATAAATAAGATGAATCAATAGTTGAGTGAAAGAATATGAAAATAAAATACATAAAGTCATTTTTATAATGCTTCTATATAATCTAACTAAAGAAGAGTTTTGTGTATTAATATAAAGATTTTGTATATAAATACTAAACATGTTTTGGCAAAAGAAAGTGACACCATTCTTCTAAAAAGATGTTGACTAATTAGAACATGTAGGATGTAAATGTCATTTTCTTTGTCACAACTGTTGTTAGGATTCTGTAGAATCCTATCTTTTTGTTTAAAAAAACAACAATTATTGTATTTTTGAATGTACTGTGAAAAGCTTAAGTTCAGTTCTAGAACACACTCATGATGGTATTCAAGAATGGAGAAGGATTTGAACAGAATTATGTTTGAGAAAATTCTTGTAAAGAATGTTTTTGGCAACTTCTCCCTCCCAAAAAGAAGTGTTGTTAGTGATTTGTAGTCATATTAGACTTAAAATAAATATGTTTATTGTTTTTTGTACAAATAATTGTATAAATCTGTACAAAGAACCTGCTGATGTGTTTAATCTATAGTTGTAATTTGTACAAAGACACAAATAAATAATGAGCAATTATTTATTGTGACATTATCAACATGCTCTCCAATCATGCTATTTGTAAAGCCAAGCATGCTCTCCACCTCAAATTAGTACTGTAGTGTCCTTTAACAATAGAGTCGTGCCAGTTATCTATTAACTGCTTTCAAGGGAAAGCTTTTGAGTTGAACTAATGCAACTTCTGGTTTGCATCGGAAGTTCATATATGGTTACTTGGTGCCTTCTGCCTGTAAGGTCTCAATATCCGGTCTCGGATTTAATTTATCTAACTCTGTTCTTGAGATTACGGAAAGACAGATGGATGGACGGACAACAGTGGAAATTTATAGGTCTACAATTTTTTAAAATTGCAGCCCAATAACATTTGAATTTATAGTGCAAATTTAGTTTACAGTTGATCCAATTAAAAGTTAGTTTGCCAGAAAAATATAAACTACACAATAGCAGGACTTGGTGACCTCTCATTCCTACTATTGCTTATAGTCCTTTCAACTCTCACTAAACCAACTATAGACTATTGATAAATATTATATTAGGGAAACAAGACCATTTGATTAAAGCTTTAAAAGACAAATTAAAAAACTTAAAAGTAAAACAATCAATTTGAGTTTTTATGAGGCAATGGTATACAACAGTTGTAGATCAACATTAATTTTTGTTTACAGGAATATAATATATAATAAGATTATATTATGATCAGACTTATGGATGAAGAATTGAAATGATGCAACATCATGAAAACAAGAATGTAAATCTTATAAAATACTTTAATAAATCCAAATCAAGATTATTTCAGGATGAAATTGCATAATTTAACAAGTGAATGATAGGCAAATTGGACAAATATCAAATTTATCATTTACATTTTGTGAACATTATTTAACCTGGCAAAACTAACAACGGAAGTGGCTGAGTAGTTAAAGATGGGCATGATATATCTGAATCAATCTCTGGACACAAGACAGATCCTCCAGTGATGAACATCTTTATGGCATTAGCTGCTCAACCATGTTTATTTGTTGAATGCTTGCATTTGTAAAATTACATAATTATATTTTGAAAATAAAACTAATGTGTAATTAATATGTAATGGATATATTTAATTCCATTGCTAACTCTTTATATTTTTTCATTTATGCTACTTTTATATATTTCAATTATTTTCTATGTTCTATAAAATCAATTTTTCTAGATTATAAAATATATTTTGATTATTTTTATAAATTTGAAAAAGTGGTAATAAAATTTTACAATAAATTAAGAAATTAAATTCCATTTGACTACAAACCTTTGGTGTAATCACACAGACTAATGCAGGAGCTATTTGTAAAGGCCATTTTAATTCATTTTCTGTCGATAGAAGTTCTAAACATGCACCTAATACTCTTGACACACCTAATCCAAAGCATCCCATTTGAAGTATTCTAAATTTATAATTTAAAAATAAAAGCAAACAAATTAATTTATTTATTTGTTTTTTTACAATAAATCCATTGAAAGTCATTTCAAATATATATAAAAGTTCTTAATTTAAAAGAAAATCAATTTGTAAAATAAAATTTTGATTAAACTAAACTAGAAATTCTTACTGCATTGATCCTTTACTGGATTTGTATAATGCATTAAATGGTTTTGTATACAATTCACCCAAGAGAAATGCTTGAGCTACCTACCAGAGAAATTTATAAATATAAATAAATGATGCATATTATTATTGATTATTTGAAAATCAATTTTTATAGTTAATTATTTAAATATTAATATAAGTTTAACCAATCATTTATGTAAAAGAGAACTCCAGACACTTAATTTTACATATTTTTTAGTCATACTTAACAATCCTTATCCTGGTATTATCCTTACATAATTCTTAATAAATTAGAGAATTATATCATTCACTGTATTTAAGAATTAAATTAATCAAGTTTAAATCATTCACATTTTTCACAGTAATGTAAGCAACAATATGTAAGAAGATTGAAAATAATTCCATAACAATAAATAATATATATATAAATATTAGAGTTTTAAAATATAATTTAGACAAGTGACTATTAGTAACTTCAAAAATTGAATTTTTTGATGTTATGTAAGCATCAAGAATATGGTCATGAACACAATGGAATGTATCAATATTGACATATATCAACAATGTATCAACATGAATGTATCAATATTTTAATGTTAAAGAATATAATGAATGCATAATGAATAAAAATCTAGTATTGAATTTTCACAATTTGTGACAAAAGAAAATAAAACTAGTTCACAAGACTAATAAAATTATTTATTAGTCTTATTATTTCAAACGTTTTTGAGTCATATAAACTGTATATTTAGTAATAAGAAGATATTGATAATTCAAATTCAAAATGAACAGATCAGTTTCAAACTCTTTTCATAACAAAATAAAGTAGGAGTTCAATTAGCAAATGGTAAAGAAGATCCTAAAAGCTGGATTTTTATTAAAGCCTAGAGATTCACAATAGCATCAGAAATCCTTTAACTTTCATAAAATGCTTTGGCCATTTTTACATAAAGTTAGGTCCTTATCAGATGAATAGACACCTTAAATATTTCAACTGATGTACTTCGCAATGCAAGTAAACTATTTCATAATAAATGTAACTTGAATATATATATATATTCAAGTTACATTTATTATGAAATAGTTTACTTGCATTGCGAAGTACATCAGTTTTGCACCCCCTGTATATATATATATATATATACAGGGGGTGCAAAAGTAGGTATACAGTTGAGAATCTGAGAAATACAAATGTTTGGTGTTCATTATTATTATTTTTATTATCTTTTATTAGTTCGTATTCCTTATTTGTGATTTAATTTGTACATAAAAATAAATGTTTTTTCTTCCTATTTTCTCCCAGTATGTTTTTTTTCCATAATAACAACTGCATACCTACTATGCATATGTAGCTAGAACTATTTCTAAGATTATCAGCACAAAACCTTTCTCACTAATTTCTAGCCTTATTAACGGGAGTACAAACGTTCCATGCTCCACAGTGTACCCGAGGAAGGCCTATTAAGAAGGCCGAAAACGTTTGTACTCCCGTTAATAAGGCTAGAAATTAGCGAGAAAGGTTTTGTGCTGATAACTGCATACCTACTTTTATACTCCCCTGTATAATGCCATTGACATTCAAATTGATGAATGTAGCAAAAGAAAACTTTAAATTTGTTCTAAATTTGAGAGTTGAGTTGAATTGGAAATTTAGAAAATTTAAATATAAAAAGAAAGAAAAAAATTAAAAAGAATCTATATTTATAATTTTTTTCCTTTATTTTTTCTATACAATATAAATAAAACTCAAATTGCTCTTAAGAAAAATTAAAGTTTTACTTGTAAAGTAAAAATGAAGGTAATATTGAAAAACCCAATCATTTTACAAAAAGCTCATAAATGTATTGTTCAATTTATGTATTATAAAAAATCTTATAGGCTATATTAAATGAAAAATGTTAAAGAATAAAATAGAATAAGTTAGAGAACAGAATCAAAATAATGACAATACTTATACCACAGATATTATGCCAAATTCATTAAATCTTAAATACGTGATGGAAAAATGCTGGATTTTACCAGGTGCTTTAATTCTATATGAAAACTTAAAAATTAAATTTATTAAGAGATATGATCAGTATTCATTTATATTGATAAATTCACATAAATTTTTTCTAATGATTAGAAAATATTTATGAAAAGGTAAGCTTAGAAGTACTAAATTGGTTAAAGGTCAAAGTTTTTATTACAAGATAAAAAGTTTTCAAAATACAATTGTCTCAGCATCAGATCCTATACAGTTTAAGTTTGTTTTCTATGAGTCTATATGTATTATGAACAAACTGTTGACTGCTTCTTCATCTATGCATTCATAACTAAGCTCTCTTCCAGAAATATTACTAATTTAGAATTACATATCATTTGATTTTGTTATACTAATCAGGATTAAAGGTTTACAATAACTACTTAGGTTGAAATTAATTATTATTAATAATATGCTTAAGTGAAAGCTTATTTATCAAGTAATACCTCAATTCCTTTGTATTTAATCATTTCATTTCCACAGTTTTCACATTTCATGCTATCTTTAAGAACAAAATTAAAATTAAATTAATAATATTTAAAATAGTTAAAAATATAAATAAAACTGTCCTTACTATTGATTTCTATATTTGCTCCTATATTACATCTTATATAGAAAAAAAAGAAAAAATATTTTATAAATTTTTAATAAAAATTATTAATTTTAGTTATTATTAAAGTACAGTACAGTAGAATCCATTTATTGTAATCACACTGGGCTTTACCTCCAGTCAGGGCAAAAATGCCCACCAGTGGCCAAGTGGATAAAACCACTGAACACTGGTTGTGAGTTTATGCCTGTCCAATGGTCAGGCCATGTAAAGTTTTTTGGTTTTCTTCACATTAGTAACACCTAAATAGGGATCAGTTTTCCATAAAAGATCTCCCAGGAGGCATTCTCCCTTCAGCAGATCATCCAACGTGTTATGTTGCTGTAACCAAATAAACCAGGGGTGACTTGATGGGTGAAGCAATGAGGTGACTGCCTCAAGCGGCAAAATGAGCATTCAAAAATGTTCAAAAGAAGAAAAAATAATAATAGAAACAATAAGCCAAATATGATTAAGTCCCATAAATGTTCTTTAAAGTTGCTTATAATAATTCATGTAAGAGTACCAGAGCTAAAAGTGCTTGCTATTGGCAACAGTTCTGAAAGCTGGAGAGGCAAAAATTGGTTTTGTCTCAGGTACAAGTTACCATTGAGCTGGCACTGCCTCTAGTGATAATAATATCTGATTAATAACATTACATGAAGCAAGATAAATAGAAGTATAATTAGTGTAAATTCTAAATTCTAGTTTTACTGTCTCTGATGTTAAAAATATTCATTTATTAATTGTAACTATTATTATTAATAGTAATTTACCCAGTGTATAATTGATAATAAGAAATGCTAGCAATTTTAACTATTATAATGCAAAGAAATTAAAATGATAAACAATTACTGTTTAAAGCACTGGTTAAGATAGATAATAATAAATGATAACTATAAGTGAAATTCTATTACAATAAGGAGTGTTTTATTAGTGTATTTCATCTTATATGTGTTAGGACATGATGATTCTAATAACATTATATGGCTGATAATATCTGAAATCACAATAACTTAATATAGGAAAAAATTCTACTTTATTTAAATGATTTTTATTTTAGTATTAAATCTTATCATAAAACATTTTTTAAAAGTTTTGTTACATATAATAAATAAAATGACATAAACAGTCTGATATTGTTATTTTTTCTTGACAGACATAAGAAATACAAAAGAAAAATGACAAATTATAACTAAAAATATAATTCTAAAAAAACAAGCATTAAAAATAATCAATGATTTAAATTTTATTGGGATCAACACACACCATACAAATTTATTGAAAAGTCAGATGATAAAACTAAAAATATCTCAAGTACTGTACTTTCAGACAATTCAAGCCCAAAGAGGTATACATCCTTAGAATACAAAGTTTTAAATTTCTAAGATATTTCTCTAACATTTGTTATTACTTAAAGAATGCTTTCTTTTAAATAGATTATTTATTTAGTTCAACCAACAGTACAATGCTGCTGATTCCCTGAAAATAGATATGTCTAAAAATACTTGGCAAATCTTTTGCTTTGTTGCTATTTTACAGTAAATTTGCAAGGTGTTTGTTGATTTCAGTGAAGTACTCATTGTTTCTTTTTCATAATAAAATTTATTGAACTAAAAGTTTATTAACTGCTACTAATAATTATTAAATATTGAGTAATTTGGCATAAGAGCTTCTTAAATATTGTATGCTTTGGGAGCTGAGTCATCCCCAGTCGGTACTGTGAATTAGTAGTATGGTTATATCAAAATTTAATATGTCTGGAAGTGAGAGATCAGACAGAAGCCTGGTAGTGTAATTGGCAATGCATCTGCATGGTAAGCAGTAGTTG